TAATAATAATAATAATAATAATAATAATAATAATAATAATAATAATATACATCACAATACATCACAAAGTCCTAAACGCTTGGGATGTGTTCGACTAGTGATTTGTGATACGAAACCCAGCATAGTTATCTAGTTTGATATGTACACCATCATTTTTATGTATAATAATAATAATAATAATAATAATAATAATAATAATAATAATAATAATACCATCTTAATAGTTCCTAGGTCCTTGATTAGGATGTGAGCTGTTGAGCTACCAACAGGGGCTGTGAATCTCACTAAAGATTAAATAATAATAATAACAATAACAATAATAGAGGAACAACAACAATAATAATAATAATAATACAACTCCTGAAAGCCTGGCTGCATTATTACTTGGTTCCTTCTCAGGCTAGTGTTAGACTTCTCCACAACTGCCCATAGTTGTCAAAGGCATACCAACGCGGTGAAGGGGTTGATGGGTAAGCGGAAGGTTGCAAATGGATGCAGGTGGGCCAACACACAACCCTTCCCAAGTCTTAACTATGTCTTATGTGGAGATGCATGTGCTGCATTCTGATTGGTTGGCTTTCTGTTGGGAGGCGGGAGGAAGGCACGGCACCTTCAAGCAACAAAATGGAGCTTCTAGACTTGCCGACAAAAGGAAATTTCTATGATGTACTTGATAAAATATTACAAAAAGCAGGCGGAAACAGCCCAATCGTGGATGGAAAGTGGAAGACCTCTGGAGAAAAAAAGAGACCAAATAAACTTGATTTACATTTTTATGCTGTTTACATTGGTGTGAATAGAACAGAACACCTGAGTTAGAAGGGATCTTGAAGGTCTTCTAGCCCAACCTCCTGCTCAGGCAGGAAACCTATAACATTGTCCAACGTATTCCTTAAAACTTCTAGTGTTGGAGCATTCACAACTTCTGGAGGTAGGATTAATTGTTCTGTTAGGAAATTTCTCCTTGTATCTAGGTTGCTTCTCTCCTTGATTAATTTCCATCTGCTGCTTCTTGTCCTCCCCTCAGATACTTTGGAGAATAGCTTGACTCCCTCTTCTTTGGGGCAGCCCCTGAGATATTGGACAATTGCTATCAGTTCTCCCCTGGTCCTTCTTTTCATTAGACTAGATATACCCAGTTCTTGCAACCGTTCTTTATATTTTAGCCGCTAGTCCCCTAATTATCTTTGTTGCTCTTCTCTGCACTTTTTCTAGAGTCTCAACATCTTTTTTAACTGTGGCGACCAAAACTGGATGCAGTATTCCAAGTGTGGCCTTACAAAGGCATTGTTGTTATGTTTACCAAGGGATTCTATTATGTTTAAAAGGGTTATGTCTGTAAATATGCGTGTCAACTCATAAAAATATTTCTATTGTTCTTTTCAGAGTTGCCAACAGAAAGGGAGGGGGAGAAAGGGGTTTGAAAGAGCAGTGCGGCAGCTTGGAAATCAAAAGTGCATTCCATAAATCGTTTTTCAAAGATAGTAACAAGGTGACTGAAGTTTCTGCCGTGCAAAATTCTAACTGGAGAACATGATTGATGACTCTGGGCTATGGATGTGTCCCATTGGAGAATATGAATTATGATACACCCAGGGGGTGGGGTGGGGAAACCAGGGTCAAGGGTGATAATGAATTATGTGTCTCAGAGTCGACTACACCCAGGCAGTGCTGGATATGCTAACTCCCAATAAATCCTTTTGAAGTTTTGGAAGTTTGGCTTGAGACTCATAATTTAATTAGGGGTAACTGCCGGAATCCTGACAGCGTGCCTGTCTGCTTGAATAACCCTTTGCACAAACAATACCATTACAGCCTGAGGATCTCACTCCAAGTCCTGCAGAGCAAAATTCCTTGGATTCAATCTTGGATACAGAGGGCATTACATCCACACCACACTTTACATCCCGTGATTCAGGTGTCTTCCACACCTGAAGCACAGCAGTGATGAGGAGAAGGGTCAACCAGTGTAGCCACTGTGTTACTCATAAAGGTAGCAGCCCCCCAGTCAGGAAAAAGAAGGAAGGAGACAGGAAAGGATGAGATACTGGATATTATTGTCACTCTGCACCAGGCCAGAGGTGGGTATTCAGCAGATTCTGAGCAGTTCTGGAGAACCGGTAGCAGAAATTTTGAGTAGTTCGGAGATCCGGCAAATATCCCTTTGACTGCCCCCCCGCCTCCCGAGTCCCAGCTGATTGGCTGGGTCTTCTTTGGTTGCCCTGCACAGGAGAATGGAGCTGGAAAGCAGGTTAGTGGGGTGAGGAGGGAATGGGGATTCTTCCCCCAGGACTGGAGAGGGAGTGGAGATTTTACAGTATCCTTCCCCCTGCCATGCCCACCAAGCCACACCACATCCATCAAGCCACACCCACAGAACCGGTAGTAAAAAAAAATTGAATCCAACTACTGTTATCAAGCCAGGAGCAGCTTCAAGCTGCAATGGTGTCACAATGACGAGCATGCAACTTCAGCAATGCTGTTGCAATCTCTTTGCGGCAACGTCCATCAGAAAGGGTAGAAGTAACAAAATCCCTAATTCTTCACAGTGCTTGCTGATGCTCACTCCCAATAGTTCTGACCATTCAACAAAACGGTTCCATTTTTACTGCTGGGAAATCCATTTTGCATTTTTGTTTTGTGTTTTTGAGTTTGATACATTTTGTTCTGACGGTTTGGAATGATTTATGTTTTGCACTTTTACATCTATACATTGCACTTCTACAACTGTCTGGTTTGGTACAGGTAGAGACTTCAACGGATAGTTAGGATTGCAGAAAAAACCATCGTAACTAGCCTGCTTTCCACCAAGAGCCTCATATATTGCACGCACGGAGGACTGAGGAAGTATCTACATTGCACGCAAAAACAACTGGGCACAAAATCATTTTTTTCCCCCTTGTGCCATCACTCTGCTAACACCTAATTCCCACAGCACTGTCTTATGCCTAAATAGATTTACCCATGTGGTATGGTTGTATTTTTATCTTTCTCATTTGTTCCACCTTGTTCTCTTGTTGGCATCATTATTATGATTATGATTACGTTATTATTCTGGTTATTATTATTGTTTTGCATGTACACTGATAGCTTATGCACTGGAGACAAATTCCTTGTGTGTCTAATCACATTTGGCCAATGAAGTATTCTATTCTATCTATATTACACTACAATAGTACTAAAATAAATTACTCTATCCACCTGTGATAAGGTATTTGCGAAGTTTTTTTGCTATGAATTTTGTTAGTTTTAGTCAGAATTTTGTTAGTTTTAGTCAGCATTACTTGTTGTTACAACTGTTATTTAAATGACCTGTTGGTTTATAGTAGATTTCTGGCTTTGGGTTTTGTTTAAAAAAAATCTCTAACATTTTTATATGTAGAAAAAGGCAGAGCAAAACTTGGTTTATATTCAAGACAAAACACTGACCAAGATATTTCTGTTCGAAAATTTATTGACAGTGACATTTAAGTTGTGTGGGTACGTAGTTTAGGCAGTGTCAATTCTCTGCTACATTTACACTTTGGTGTAGTAGGCCACACCTCAACACTGCATTCTGCCAGGGCACCTTCCTTGTTGGAGCCTGGAAAAACTGCACCAGATCCTTGCAGATTCCTGCAGCCGCATGTGATGGTCTGGTGATCAATGGAAGTCAAGACCAACTGCTTCCTCCGTTCTCCCTCCTGTATCCCAGCAGATACTGAAACAGTGTTTTACAAATTTTGGTGGTGCGTATCTTGCTATCAGTATGTTGGTGGCATCGGTATTGATGAGATAATTGCGAAGAGTAACACATGCCTTGACAGTATCCGTGACTTTTATTTGGAAGAAAGTCCTTGGGCCGTCCAAGAATCCGCCATCTTGTAGCCAACATTCCAAAGAAACTCTCTATGGTCCGACTTGGCTCTCGAATGACAGTAGTTATACAAAGTGAGCCCGCCTCTCGAGACTGGGATCTGGAGGATAAAAAAATTGAACAGTATTATTACTCAAAGTATTAGATGAAGGGATGATTTCAGCATTGATCGCCCTCAATTTTGGTATCAGCATTCAAAAAAATTTGTGGCTTAAACATAAAGTGACATATAGGTAACCCTGGACTTATGACCACAATTGAGCTTAAAATTTATGTTGCTAAGCAAGACTGTTATTAAGTGAGTAAGTAGTAAGGCTGTATTGCTATTCTTCTCCTCATCCTTCCTATTACCTATCTCTTCCCACTTATAACTATAACCGTGTTGCTTGTATCTTTATAATTTATATTATTTGTTCCCTAGTATGATCTGATCACTTATTAGTAACCTATGTATGATCTGATCGCTTATTAGTAACCTATGTATGATCTGATCGCTTATTAGTAACCTATGTATGATCTGATCGCTTATTAGTAACCTATGTATAATCTGATTGCTTATTATTAACCTATGTATGATCTGATTGCTTCTTAGTAAGCTATGTATGATCT